AAACCAATCTGTGATTCTATGATTCCTGACAAAAAGGACACAGCCAGACTTCCTCTAGACAACAGCCACTGCCTTTCTGCAGGATTTTCTCTGATTTTAATTCTTTATACTTCAGTACTTTATCACAACTGAACATCAACATCTCAATGGACCCAGGTTATTTTAAAACACTATTTTTTTAAAAACACTATTTTTTAAAACACAATTTTTCCTCCATCGCTGCAAACAGAACTAATGCCAGGTAGGCAAACTAACAGAGCATTCCAGTTGTTTACACAGTCTTCAATATCAAAGAGGAAAACAGCTTTTGTTTGGTTTAGTTTAAAATTTACGAATGCAGTAAAGCAACACCGAAAAGCAGTAACCAATCTTGCAAAAGGTCTCGCAACAAGTAAAGGGCAGATAACTCTGGCATGATTACAGTTGATATGAGGCCTGGGTCACTCCAGGCCTTTTATTTTTTTATTTCTGGGATTACTTTTTCAATCAAAACGTGACTGGCATCAACATCCTAATAATGAAGAACAGATATAAAAAGCAGTTGTTACAACACATTAGGCAATGAAGTCAGCAGGACACCATCCATTTACATTAGATCCTCGCTCACACTACTGCTGTACAGGCTTTTTACATCACAGATCTAGAATTAAGAGTAAAAAATAAGAATGTCATAATAAAATGATGATAATTAATTTTTCCCAAATCTGCAGCAGTGGTTTGGCTTACTAACTATCAAGTTTTCTAAGAATCAAGCATGCACGTCAGCTCTAAAGAAGAATCTAAAGTTTATTGAACATCTAATAAATTATGATCTAATAAATAAATAAAACTTTTCATAAAGTATCTACTTTCTGCTTCTGTAAAAAGAAATTTTTACTCATGGTACAGGTGTAGAAATATTCTTGCTGCAAGCATATTGACTACAAGAATAGAGACTAATTCTACTATGCCATCAAAACAAAAGGAAAGCTGGAAACTACATGATAAATACAGGATTAATACCTGTTTATTACCTTCAGATTAAATATAAAAATAACTGCATTATTTTCTGTTACTTTCACCTGTTTCCCTTAGTGCCTGGAAACATATTATTTCCTTCTATACCCATCAAGACCAGAAACATTTTGAAAATGTGTTTTTATTCTTTTGATACAGTATGAAATAGATTGACAAAACCACAACAAATACAAATCCATTTCTAGAAAATATAGATGTAATACGCCTTCTGTCTTTATTGCACTAAAACCAAATGAATAACCCCAAATACACCACAACCATGAATAAGAGGAATGAAAAAACAGCCTTCCTGAGAATGAGGTTTGCAATTTTTGAGTACTTTTCATATGTTTACGCTACATCTCCAATGCAGTAGCTGCCAGAAATATATTTTGCTGTGAGTAATCTCAACTGAATTCCTAAGTAAGCTTCTTTTAAGCTCATATTAAAATGTGAGTTTATAAATACTTTGGTTTCAATTTTTTTTTTTCAGAACTTCACTGCCTGACTTATTTGAGCAAAATAAGCAGGACCTTTTCTTCCCTCAAGCCAGCAGAACTGTAAAATAAGTTCCTGAATGTGCTTGTATGAAAAAAACAAACATTGAAACTAATAAACAGAAAACTCTGACGTTTGACATAAAAGATTTCCTCCTCCACACTAGCTGTCAAGCAGCTAGAGGAAGAACCCTATCCTGTGTATCCTTCATTCCACATGCACCACGGTTTTAGTATAAGGCTTACTGCTGTTACTGTTAAAGGCTGCTAGGTTTTTTTTATGTTTTCAGTGGGCAGGGGCTTCAATCTAAGGTCAGTATTTAGAAATCAAAAGGCAATTTACAGAATGTGCAGTATTTGTAGTAAGAAAGACACCAAAGACTGAAAAGAAACAAAAATAACTTTTTCAAATTATTTTCATTATAATTTATTATTGAACTATGACAAAGTTGGAGGGGGGAAGGTCTTTACTAAAATTTCCAATTTAGTGAAATGTGAATCATCCCTCTGAAAAAAGTGCAAAAAGAAAGATGAGGCAAAAATAATTAGCCAGCAGAACGACTGGAATTTTTCAACTTATGTGTCTCCATCTACGGAAAAATCAGTGCTAGGATACAAGTATATGAGGGAACAACTTCAAATGCCCTCTTTTCTTGTTTTGTTACATTAATACTTCACACTGAGCAATATCAAACACTTTTATATCAATTGTATTTTAACACAGATTAGTATCTTTCAATGATCCCCAATGTGAGTGAAAGGCAGTATGTACCTTGATGGGTACATAACAAGGAGTAAGATGAGGCTACGCTGAGCTACATACTGTAAGAATTCTCACAAGTATCGCTATGAATGCAGAAGCCATTCACTCTTAAAGGCAACAGGCGGGTTGTCAAGAAAAGAAGTCTGAAGTATGACTTGTGCATACCTCCAAATCTTATAAAGAAATGAAAGGTGCTCAGGCCCAGCCTCGTGTGGAATGTATTTTTTTGTGTCTAATATGTATGTGTTCAGAATTTATGTTAATGATCGAGGAAAACACCACTATCAGGACTGAAATTGTCGTTGGTTTTAAGGACATATTTAATTTAACTGAATTTAAAGGCATACTAACAGTAAGAGATCCTTTAGAGAAAGTTCTGTCTTTAAAGTATCTATAAACATGTAATCACATATCCCCCTAAGGCCAAATTTTAAGATGATAATCACTGTAAGCAGAACTACCACCTTAACAGCAAAGAAATCAAGATCCACCATCATTCTGTAGAGATGCAATTAAAAAAATCTCTTTCACAGACAAGTTAAGCCTTCTGATACACTGAATTGCTTCCAAAAAAGCTAAGGAGAAGTACATTTTTTGCAAAATGAATAGTATAATCTAATAGGGAGAAAAGTGGGATTTTGCACAAAAATAATCTCATTTTTAAAAAGATAAACCACAAGAAGAATCTCTTCAGGATGGTCTCAGGAACTGAAGACATCTCAGCTGAACATAGTATAGGTGGTTACTTAAATGCCATCATCAGTATAAACAATAGAAAAACGAGGAACATATAACTTCTAATTCCTTTGTGTACAGAGACATTTTCTAAATATACCAAATGAATGATAGATCATAACAAATAGCTCCCTTACACATTAAAATTTACTATCAGCAGTGGTGGAAATATTATTTTTCTTTCTTATTCAGGAATAATATTTTTTTGTTGACTTATATTTCAACATTAGGCATTTCTACTCAACACAAAAGTACTAAGTAGCTTTAATGATAGATATGATCTGTAATACAACATTAGTGTCATTAGAGGTATTTCTGCTGAGCACTTATTTCAATCTTTATACTAGAAAAATTATATTGCACATAATTTTGGTGTTTTGTGAACTTCTACTGAAAGCAGATTACATCAACAGAAACAGACACAGATGCTGCAAAAGCATATATATAATCACACCACTGTGGGACAGAAGTCCTACATACAGCCTGACACTGACAACAAGAAGTTAATTACCAAGTGGAACATATTATTCTTTGTGACTTCTAAAGTCTTCATTGTCAATTACAACCTCAAAAATTTCTGAAGCTAAAATATTATAAAGAAAGGCAAAAAAACTGCTTAAAACTGAATCACATTCAAGGTCATTCTTTGTGTTTGATTTATCAATTTCACCAACTCAGAATGTGGGTCCAGTAATCTAACCCTTCACTGTTCAACTTGTTGGTATGTGAAAAGAATTCAAGGCGAAGCTTCCACAAAATTTTTCAGTCCACCTGCTATTTCAGTGACTATTATTTAAACCACTAATTCATTACTCATAGATTCTTGGTCTGTCTCTGCATTAAAATCAGCAATAAAGAGAAAGTAATATTTCTGCAATTTCCTGGAGAGTCTCCTATACCCAGGGAAAAGTGAGCACGGGGCTGAGTGGGCTGTGCCTCTGAAAGGGAATTATCTGCACGTGTGTGTACATCCAGTTATTTACTGAAGAGCAGAGAGAGAAACATCAAATCATTCCCCTTGGAAATATGTTTGGCACAGTCATTTTCCTAACAAAGGACAGTTTGGAACCATAATCCACATCCCAGCTAAAGGGTGCCCTGCTCCTGGCAATTCACTGACTTGCAGGAAAAACAACAGCACCAGAGCATGGAAGGGAGGAGACAAAGATAGCAGGGTTTTTTATGCCTTGCCGATATGGTTGTAGAGGGCAGACAGAGGCTGCTCTCAGACACCTGTGTGTTGGTTTTTTGGCCTGACCCATGGCAGTGATAAGGGGGAGGTTATCGAGCACACAAACACATGGGCTCTGCTCACAGCCGCGTGTCATACTCCAAAGGCTCGTCTGCATCGTCAGCTCCTCTGGTGCTTGTCTCCATTTCTGTTTCGAAGGCTGGACTGACCCTTTCCAGTGTGCAGTCACTTCTTCTCAAATCTACAGCAAGAAAATAAGTTCAGCAATGCAGCCAAACTGGTGTTTGAAAAGCACGTGCACCCCAGGCAGTGTCTAACCCAGTGACGGGTGGCAGCTTGTTAGCTGCTTCCAGGAGGAAGAAAATCTGCAGCGGGGCAAATCAGAGCCAAGGGGATGACAGCCCTGGGGGGACCCAAAATGGTGTGAGCTGATAGGAACGAGCCTTCCCTGACTGTATTCATTCAGATGATTTTTCCCTCTATTATCTCTAGCTGCCACATACACAAATCATCAAAAACAATAACAAGCTTCTGATCCAGAATCAAACAGTAATTATTACTCCACGTAGGCACTGAAAGGAAGGAGCTTTCCCCTAGAAAAAAACAGGTGGGTGGCAATTCATCCAGAATAGCCATCTATTTTGGCTTTGAGTCTTTTAAATCTGCGCCACAACAAACAGAAGCACATTCTATGAAATTTAACACGAAAACCAGGCAACCCAACTAGGCAGTAGCAAAGGGCTGCAGTGTATAGGACCATATCCCAGGGCCAGGAAACCTCCAGTGAGCTAATGGATTTCTAATTTTTAGTTCATTACTCTTTCTCATTCTAAAAATTATTGTTGCTGTTATCTGTAGTGATGGCCCTGGAAAAATGAGCTACCACTTTGCAAAGCAAAGGAAACAATTCAACAGGTACAAGATTTTGTGTTGAATGCTAATGTGTTGGTAGGCTCCAACCTTTACACAGTTGCTGGGCAAAAGAGTAAGGTAAAAGAGCAATGTTCTCATACTCCCCTTTGCACAGAGAGAGCGTACATGCTAAAATCCTTCCGCTCAATAGAATTTTGGTTCTTGTCTTCATAGCACGCCTAGGTCTTTCCTTCCTTGCACTTAAAAAGTTACATGTAGATTAAAAGTTATTCTTTACTTCACATACCAGGGAGTTTCAGTCTCCTGCAGCAAGAGTTACAACGATGCTTTGTGATGAAGTTTCTTATTGCACCTTCTCCTAGGTTTGCTGGTCCAAATACCATCTTTCCAGATCTAAAAGAAATATTATTAAATAATCCATGAATTCAAAATAAAGAAATTGTAGGGGAGGAAGATGATGATGTTTTCTATTTTTTAAATCACAGATGTTAGCCCTTTGTACATAGACAAGCAAAGCTTAGTGCACAGCACAAGTTTCTTAGTTCTGGGCCAAAAAAACTGCCACATCTGGTAAAGTATTAGCCTACATGTAACCTGCACTACCTTTCCTTCCTGCTGTATCTCCAAGATGCTCTAAAGGGTGACAGAACAGACCCGCAGTTCCTACTAAAACGCTCAAAGAAAATTCAGGCACAGTGACATTTACACAATGTACACCAGAATCTGAGTGACTCTGTTGCAGCCACCACTTATCAAGCAAACGGTTCTGGTTTTAATGGTAGGCACTGGGAAACAAACCAGAGCCAGCAAGGACTTACTTTTACCTTATTTAAGAACAGAAACCCAAACGCAAGCAGAGCCCTAGTCACATCAATATGCAGCACAGAAAAAAAATAGAGTACATTGCTGACAAGCAAGGCTTTAAAATTTATTGGCTTCTTCCTATGCTCATTTCCATGTGTCTGCACTCAGGCCAATTCAGCAACGTTACTAGGGGATCCATTTGTGCAAGTGCATTGCATATGCTGAATGAAGCTGACACAATTACAAACAGAAGCAAGCTATATCCACACATGTACTAGAAGCACTACATAATTATAACAGATTCTTAATGTAATCTGAAAGATCAGTGTTCATTAATTTTAATATTGCTCCACCATTATTCTCAAGAATTTAATTGACATTCTAGACATCACGGAACACAGCACACAAGAAACGCTTCCAAAGAAACTTTATGAATGTTAGTATTTTATTTTAATGATATGCAGAGTGGAAACAACACATTTTAAAATCTGAAGTCAATTACAGCCCTGAGAAGCTATAGAAAAAGATTTTAACTCTCTCAAATCTACCCGTAATCTGCACTAACAAAATGTATTTTCTTTAAAGAAAGCAGTTTTCAATATGACACTGTCCTCTTTCACACAGGAGAAAGGCGATGATTAGCCAGAACTGCTATAGAAAGCTTAGTGCCATATATACACTTTACGTGGCATGATGCTATATAGCCATTTCTAGCCCTTGGTATAAGCTGGTAAAATGTCAGCAAGAATAAAACATACTTAAGTATTTGCTTGTGCAGACACAGGAAATTGAGAAGACTTCGCTAACTCAAAGGCTACAGAACCACTCTGATACCTCCTCTCATCTGTTATTCCACGCAAAGCGCAGCAAATAGCACAAGACAGACTGATAATTTTCTCACGCTGCTGTGAGATAGGGATACTGTCTCCAACATATGTTAAGTAATCTTTCCTCTCTACCCAGCACTGGCAATGGTTCAAGAGGAAGACTGCATTTAAATTTGGAAAACTATTTCAAGAAATATGGGGATAAACTGGGAAAAGAACAAGAATGACCAGCAGCCTGTAAATCATGACACACATGAGAAGATTAGGGGTAGCCTAAAAAGAAAAAAAGGAATGGAAGGAGAAGATGGTGTCTATCTTTGAGCTTGTTGGATATTTTTTCTCTGTGTTGACAGTAGACAGGACCAAAAAGAAACATTTCAAGAAGGAAATAATGAAAAATTTTTCAGACATCGCAAAATATTGAAAACAGATGCTCTGGGAAGTTTTTAAGGTCATCCTTGGATGATGTTAAGACTTGCCTGTACAACACCTGTAAAGCCAGGAATCACCTGGTGCAGAAGAACCAGCTGAACTCTTTGGCTCCCTTTGAACCCTACAAATGTTTTATAAACAAGGTCACTCTCTCATTATTCGAAGTGTGATATAATCTCCAAGAGCAGAAAAATACCAAGCCCAGCTTTCCTATTTCTCAAGCAGATGCATTAATGTGAGCTAATGGGCTTAAAAAAATAAAACATGTGCCTCCTTTTGTGCAGAACGTACCTAACAGTTACGCTGCATGAATGCCTACCAGCTTGTACCAGACCGGTCCTGGCCAGCAGAGAGTACTCCTTACAATCCAGAGCTACAAAGCTCACAGCAGACATTAAGACATTTATAGGTACTGATGGAAGGTGAAGAACTGCAGGGGGGCTTCATGGCAAGCACCGCCTTTCCAGGGAGGTGCCCAAGTGTACGTTTCAGTACGTTTTTGTAGGTTTAGCATCCAGTCCACCTGATTCAGTGGTGTAGGTTTCTACAGCAGAGGTTCAGTACATGCAGATGTTTTGGCTACTGGCAGCAATTCAGCTGTCAATTCCTTGACTGGAAATGCACAGCTTGGCAAATATTCAATAGATTTGTTCTTCTAAACACATGCTAATGAGAAGCTTCAGAGAACATGGCCTTCACTCCTTACTAAACTTTTCAGCCCATCACTACCTGCTTGAGAGCTTTCAAAAGGGGAGAGTAAGAGATCTAGCACCTCTGACTCCTCCTTTCCACATGTTTGTAATGAGATTTTTGACTGCCGGCGCCCTTTTTCTCACCTCTCTCAGCAGGCCTAATGCATCAGTTCTTTCCAGTTTGAAACTTATCCCCCTATTTTCCTCCACTCTACAGACACTCTGCACCTGGTGTCTGTGAAAGCTTTACCCACGTGAACTTTGTTGTGTGTTTGGCAAGTAGCACACACTAGGAGGAGCGTGCAGAGTACTGCTTACGAGGCAGTTCTTCCCAGCGTTTGGGCGGTACAGGAGTCTGCAGGGACTGCGCTGTGTCACAACCTTGCTGCTGTGCCTCAACTAATTCTGCTTTTAAAGGAAATCTTTTTGTGAGCATTATACCCGCATCATTTTATCACTTCACACATCCTCTGCAGTGCACATGGCCAGACTTTCATTTGATGTCAAATATCCATGAACTTACACCAATTTACATCAGCTCAGGATCGGCCTGAGATGTCACACTATCAGGCATACTTTCCAAACAGATCTGTTACTTTTGTCTTGGTGCAGTACGTAAAACCAGGGCACAGTGCACTAGCAGAGAGATAGAGGTCACATTTTGCCATTACGACGTCCAATTCCAGACAGCATGCAGGATGCATGAAAGAAAAGACTCATTACAAGATAAGGACACCAGCCACTAGATCAATGGAATTAAAGAAGCAAAACATAAATAATTTAATTATGAGTAGTGCTAAAATTTGAATCAGCCCCGTCAGTCAGATGCCATCTATTTTCTCCCGGGCTTCTAAGAGAACATCAGCTCAAAGCAACTTTTGAGGCAGCACATGGGTTTTGATTAAGTATCTTACCTACAAATGAAAGCTTAAAACACATCTTGCTACTGCCAGAAATGTTTCTCTTATGAGCAAATGAAGGTTAGGGCAAAGACAGTGATTTTATGTTGTTATTTTTATTACTGTTTTAGAAAGTGTTTCTTACAATTGGGTATCTGCTAGCTGCTTACAGAATCCACCAACAGTTTCACTGCTTTATTCCTTTAGATCCCTGAATCAAAACAATATAGTTTCACAACTTGCTGTTCTGAAGATTTCCCTGAACATTAGAAAATCAAGCTGGTTTTGATTAATTAATCAACACTTGCTCCTTAACTAGGACTTGACTGTTTTGCAGATGATAAAAAAACAAAACAAAAAGTTCTGAAAATAAGATCAGTGTGATCAAATTTTGGTAAACATGACAAAATTATTTCATGACAAAAATATTCCAGAAGGATACAAGTAAACATAAGCTTCAGGATAATGTAGATAAATATTATTCCTACTTTAAAGAGGCTTAAGCTGAGTTGCCACGTGAAGTACTGTGGTCAATGACTGGCCACAGTCTTCAGAAATAACTGTTACAGTTTATGCTATCTTTGATATTAAAAATCCACTTGAACAGTAGCAAATCAGATTTTTATAGATCTGTAGCAATACCTTAAAAATGTTTGCTAAAATCTAGTGAACATCTACCTGCCTGACCTCTCTGTTCCTCTATCCTAAGCTATCCTTGTGCTTTTGTCACGGTCCTATGACCTACTTAGGGCACAGAGTTTGTCACAGTGAGGTGCTCAGCATATTTTTGCTGTTGCTTCCAAAATAAATATTATATGGCCAATACACCTACATTCATAATTGAACATTCATACAACATTAATACAGTCATTTATTACTAATCTTATTAATGAAATATTAACAATGGTCCCAGAACTAAGAACCTGCTTCCAAAAATAACTTATGCTAGGCAAGTCATCTGATATTTCTATAGTTAACTGCCCTTTGTATTAAATCAGACTATTCACATTAGTATCTTTTTTCCTTCCAAACATGAGACACCCCTTGCATCAGATGACATGAGCTGAGCAAGAGGGAGCTAAAATGACCACAAGGCAGTGGAGGGGCACAACTGGAGAGATGTGTGGGAAAGACTTTCCAGAGAAGAGGACACTGCAGGACAGCACCACCAACACCACTGCTTTTCCTCCCATTACAGCAAAGACCAGCCAGGAGGAAGGTCACAGGATGGGAGAATGGCCATGGTTCCGATTCCAAAATTTGATGCATAAAGGCAGATTGCTACTTCCATGTAGTCCCTCTAGTTTTTCTAACTCCCCACATATGATTTACCATCTCCATATCACAGCTCTGAGACTGTAACATGCAGTATGCTTAAATGCTTCACTAGGACCTATCGGAAAGATCAGATGTCCAGAGGCCCTCTCCTCATCCTCTTAAGCCTTTGTGGCTGCATATACACCACGAAACAGTGTCTCAGACTGCCACATTTAAGTTACTGATGACCTCCTTCTGTGAAAATTTGTGAAGAGACTTACAGGGTTCTCTGTCTCCCACTCCTGCTCTCCCTGCACAGCCTTGCAGAACTCCTGTGCTCCCAGAAGAGCCTCCCCCCACCTTTCATACACCGTTCACCAGATGTTGGGAGCTGGGACACCCACAGCCCCCCGAGTCCACAGTCCTTCTAAAGCACAGTGGAGGACGTAGTGTCTCCATTGCAATCATACCTTCATTTAGCCCTAACACCATGGAAAAAATAATTAAATCTCTCATATAAAACATAAAAAACACCCTAAATATACAGAATGTTGGCAGAACATCAGAAGTGAATGATAATTTCCTCAAAAAGAAACCTACTTTTTGTCTTCAGGTTTAATCACAGATGGATCTGTAAGGTTTTCCCCAACACCTACAACAAAATCAACAGTGTGTGTTACAGAGGAAGGTAATCACAATTCCATAATCTGGCACTTAACAAAAATGTAATGATTCATTTTCTTTATAGATCATGAAGTGTCATACTTAAAGGGGTCACGAGTTAAAAAGAAAATGCTATGAGAAGAATCTGTTAAATGCCGTCAAACTATTATAGAGTTCTCATTACAGCCCTCTCTTTGGCTGCTTTGAGGTTTATTTATATGCAGACGGAAGGCTTATGAGAATGCACTAAATTTTATGCTGAAGCTCAAATAAGGAAAAGGTGGTCATGCAAAAGAGTGTTGATATCAACACATCTACTCTTGGATACATGTTCTCTTCAAGGTAACAAACACAGCAAGCCACAACTTTGTGATTTGCAAACACTTGGGTCTGTTACCCCTTTTTTTCTTCTGGGTGGCCATGGAAACATATTAAATAAATAATTTCATTATGATACCTGAATGCTGATCCTGTGTTGCAGTCTTCCCCAAACTGATAACATACTACCATCTTACCAAAACACTTTTTTCTTATATCTGAGGAAATCGTTGTGCTTTTACACTAATGAAAAAGGTCTATGATCACATGGCACGCCATTATCTTTATTTCAATAGGCCACTAACGGTAAGTTTATATTCTGCAACCAACACCAGTAAAGATTCTGGAAATAGCATACTGCAACTCAAATACCCCCATATTGCAGGACTCTTCAAGGAAGGTCATTCCAGTTGATGTAAATTAGAGGAAATGTGGTGTATATCTATGCAGAGACAGCCCTGGCATTATACAGTAAACAGCAATAGAGATTAATCCTATTAGAACTCCAAGGGGAGCAGCCCTTGCACTTTTTGTAAATTCTAGATTAGAGAACTACAAGATAAACATGAGGCCAAAACTTGAGCAGAATTCAGTTTGTTTGAGATGGAAACTGCAGCCCCAGTCTTGATGAGATTTACACAGACACTTAAAATATCCATGTCTGAGCCAACACAGTTGGTCTGGAACTGTCGAGAGCCGTATAATAAACCCAAGCAAAATTCAGACGAAATCTAGTAGGCTATGGTGAAGACACACTCACTCTTTCTATATTTTTTTCATGTGCAGCTAAACCAAATGAAGGCAAGGATGGAATTATAGGTTTATTTTGCATAATAAGCATGTCTTTTTGTAATTCACAGCTTCTGGATGCTGTAAAATGTAAATATGTTAAGTCTCTGTCTACCCATACATATTTCCCTTGACAGAAATGACAAACAATAGTGTTTATACTGTTTGATGGGTGCTGTTCATCTTCTGTACATTGTCAACTGTTTTATCTCTTTAAAATATGCCATGTTCCCACTTACACATGTACAGTAAAGTGATCACATGCTCTTTGAAGGCCTCACCAGACTTTGTGAATAGCATTCAGGCTTGCAGCTAATGTAAACTACTTACAGATTTATTAATATGAAAAATAAAAAAAATACAGATAGCCGTTCATACTCTTCTGACAGATATGCACATACATTAAATGTGCATATATAGGTACGCTTGAATCCCTGTATTATTTATGTATCTTAATAAAAATACCTTAACTGTGAAGTGGGTTTTTTTGGAACTGGCTGAAATGTTCCTGCACACTATCTACCTGCTCTTTTGCCCATTCAGCCTAGACCCACTTGAAGTCAAATTATTTTCCCATTACACCTACATTAATCCAGAGTGTTTCTGTGGATAATCATTTATCAGTGCTGCACAACAGATATCCACGGGTTTCTTGAGCTTTTCCAGTATGTAAATGAGAACAGAATTTAGCCCATTCCTCAGTATTACATTCTCTTTTGATAGAACTGCTTTTCATTGGGTTTCAAATAGTGATCCCATGCTAGCAGTCACCTTGCAAATCCAGGACAAGGAGCTCCCCACGGGTGTACACGTAGGTCCAGTGAGAGAAGGCCAGCATCAGCTCTTCCAGCAAGCTGCTGGGAGTAATCTCGTCTCCATTGTTGTTGTTGTATTTCCGAAACTCACCAGTCATGTACTTCTCAATGGTCAGCCACTGGTTTGCTGAATGGCAGTAGATGAGGAAAACTTCCAGGAACCTGTAGATATAAATGCTGTCTATCAGAAGCTGGCAGGGTACTGAACATCCTCACAGTCTGTACACAGCATGATGCAAAGCAAATATACCAAAAAGGAGGACACGTCTTCCCTAGCTGGAGCATTTTGAACAGCAGGTGGTACCAAATGGTAGATGGCACAAAAGCTTTCTCAGTTTGATAACTCTCAAAACAAAGCACTTGATCAGAAAGTATAGTTTAAGGACAAACAACATAATCTGATTTACCCCGGCTCACTGTAAATGAGCTATATCAAATTGTCTTAATTGTATAAAGGCAATTCTTGCTTAAGTCAAAGAAACAGCATTATGAAGAAGCTTATTTTGCCATCACATGTAGCTATAAAGACACAGTTCAAAGCTGCCTATCCTTCCTCTTAAAAAGTTGATTAACTACCACGAGGCTGTCTAAGCAGCAGGTATTTCAATGCACTGAGGAAAAGAAGGCTGCACTAGACCTGGGACACAGCCGAGAAGTGAAACCTTCAGCATCTAATACTTAAAGACAGTGATTTTACCTTGGAGTATAGGGAATAGTATGAGGCTTCACTTGATTGAAGGTATAGATTAACTTCTGGGCAGCCCTTTGCTGTTGGATCTCCTGAAGAAAATAATTTTATAAACATTACTTTCATTTTCATGAGGAAAGATGCCATGAATTTGTCAGAGTAAATAAACAAGCAAACACCTGATTGTATACAGTTTACAAATGGTAGATACATCTTCCTCGAAACTTTTTTCCTTTCCATAAGATAGCATCAAACCACATGTCAACCACGCTGAAAGAATTCACATGTAAGCAGTACAAAATTTAAGGAATATCATGCTAGACCAGCCAGTGTGCCTTTAGGTCTGAACTCACCCTCAGGCAGAGATGAAGCACCGTGCCGTCATGAAAGATCTTTTGCCAAGTCTGAACCACCTCTGGTAGAAAAGACTTCACAATAAATACTTGTCCCAACTTTAATACGTCATTCTCAGACCAAGTACAAATGACCTTCATGGCCCTCCGCAGACCACCATCCATCTCCTCCTGCGACAAGACTTGGATCATTGCAGCCATACCACGCTGGGACCAGGAAGACATGCTTTTATCAAGGTTCATCGGTGAACTTTCTTCTAAACGATAAACTGTCACTTCCTCTCCAGCTTAAATAAAAGGAAGCTTTGTTAGCAGAAGTCACACACTGCAGGAATAGGAGAGAACTGCATTTTTATCTGGTGTCTTAACATACAACTTTACATGACTTTGTAAGTCACACTTTAAAACAGAGGCTTTTATCATTACTGACCATCTGCGTGAAATCTTTCCGGGCCTAAATTTATACTACTTACATTCCACTTAAGATCCACTATGATAACATAAGTGGTCCAAAGAGCTTGTATTAAGCCTCTAAACAGAGATGAATTTAAGACCTACTGCACACTTCCACACAAACAAAGCCCATTGATATTCTGCTCTATAAAAATCAATCTCATTTGCCACAGCTTTTTAAAGCTGGTTGAGCTTTAAAAGTACATATTTTTAAAGGGTTACAATTTTATCTCCAGTGTATGAACTTGATAAATATCCTGAGTTGAGCTCCGTCTGTTTATGTGGAAGGGGAATTTTTAGGAAGACTTGTTTTAAATTGATCAAGATCCAAGGAACACTCATAGTATTTTCCTTGTAATTGTGACTAACAAAAAGAAAACAAGTAAACAAGGCAAACAAACACACACAGCTTGTAATAGTTATCAACTACAAAATTAAAGGGCTGGAGAGTGCCGCCTTTTGACGCAAACAGAGAGCTGAGTTGTTTCAAAAGTGGTGACTTGGCCACCAATGATCCAGGGAAATTAGACTGTAAATGACATAACTTTCCTAAGAGAAAGAAATCCTACAAGAACAAGCTAAGGCAAATTAACAGTATGTTTACAGTCTCAGTGTTTTAAACAAAGATTTGCCTTTTTCCTATGAATTTCAGCATTATTTGTACTGCACAAAATTTCAGATATTCTGCCCCTGCTAATAACATTCTTCTGAAAGCAAAACAAACCCAGTGAGCTTTAACTCAGTTGCACTCTGTCTCCCTGTGTGGTTGTAATAGCATTCCACTCTTGCAATGTTAAGCCAGACACGTTTCTGTTGCCATCATTTGTAAACTAACAGAGAAGTGGACTGATGTTTTAAACCTGGCTTTCCTTCTTCCAGGAAATTTATTTGCGATGTTAATTCATAAGAAACAGGTTTTCACTGGCAAGTGTGATCAGGTAACTACATCTCCAAAACGGCAAAGAATGGCATAAGGAAGGACAAACTAGATTCAGATTAGTAGATTTCCTCCCGAGCCTACCTTCACCACGTAGCACATATGTAGATGCTGCTGAATGCCACAATTTGCACACATTTTAATTTGAAATACAGTAGCAGAAAAGCCAGTGTCTTACATAAAAGACAGACACTTGAATAAAGATACTATAACTAGACACATTTTTTAATCTTACATTAATTCTTCCTTTTATTATCTTTTGACAATTTAATACCTAGAAAGGTGTCTCCTGGGAGCTTCAAAGATTAGAATGTTCAATATGCTCATAGCTATATTAATTATCTGCAACTATCTAGTCCTGAGAAATCGTATGATGCTGCCAGTATCAACAATTAGTTGCTGTGAGACAAAATATTCTACCCATTGAAAAGAAGGCACCTAGACCTCAAGTGTCTAGAGGCAGAGCTTCTGCTGCTCTAAGACTATATTGCACACTAATTTCAGAACTATTCCAAAAGACTTATGTACTATCCTCTACCATTCCTCTGTTACAGTTGGTACGCTACAAGTCTTCTGTATCAGGCAGATGAGTAGTGCCCCTTCAACCAATACCTGGTTTTCTTCTTGACAGGATATCCTATATCTACATATGAGAGAGAGAGAATATGCAGGTAACAAGGTTAGGGGAATTGTTTCTGCTGTCTTCAGCTACCTTAACGATAGGTATAGAGATACATATACATGGGTATAGGTATAGGCAGGTAATAGGATAGGTATAAAGAAGTTAGATATGGAGGTAGACTCATTCCTGATATTGCCAGTAATCACACAAATGCCAAGAGATACAAGCTACAGCAGTGCAACACCCAGCAAATACTGGGAAAAATAATAGGTTCTCAGTAAAGTCAGTCAAACACTGGAAGATGTTGTCCAGTGAAGCTGAGAAATCTCCATCTATAAACATATTCAAAATGCAATTGGACAGGCCCTCAGCACCTGATCTGAATTGGCCGCAGAGGGATTTGGACCAGATGACCTCCAAAAGTCCCTAAATTACTTTATGACTACAACTCTATCCTGGTTCATCTGTTTTAGAAAATAAGAATTGCTGAAATTAATCTAATGAAATTTTTTAAATACAGTCTTTAAAAAGATAATGCACCAACTATTTGTACAGCAAAACACATAACCAGGAAGCTGATACTCACCAAGGAGCTGGACTGGTGTAAATGGTATGGTCTGAGCAAGTCTCATTAAGTTGTTCCTTTCAACAGCTGCGAAGAACATAGCTTTCACTATTATACTGAATAAATAACAAGCTGGATGAGTTTAAAAAACATCTGGCAGCGTTTTACTGTAGCGTACAAAGCCAAGGAGGCTGCAGTGTGACCCTGGGTCAGATCTGATCACCATTCTACCCAGCTAGCTACTCCCCTTGGCACACCCACGGGGAGCACAAGCATCAGCTGCTAATCTTTCCCCCACTCGTTGATTCCCTTTTTCCAAGGCAACAGGCTCTCTGGGATAAGCCCCTTGCACCCCGGTGAGAAGGACTGCTTCTGCTAACTCTTCACCCTCCTCTTTCCACCAAGGGCTGTTGCTACTTCCCTCGCCTGTCCCCACACTGCGACAATGAGATGCACCGGCCCCAGCTGCCCTCACTGCCTGCCTCTGTCAGGCTCAGAAGCACCTGGGGATTTAGCAAGGCATCACAGGGAAATCCAAGCTTGCCCTGCACCGAGCGCTGTTCCTTCCTCTGGGCTCCTCGCCAAACAATGGCAGTAACATTACCGTATCTCCCTGATTGGCGGCTTTCTTCTCAGGCAAACACCTTCAAAACTTCGCAGCGCCAACTAAATATTTATGGATTTCTCCTCACAATGACTCAGTTTTCAGGAAGGGGGAGAGAGGTGTGAAGTAAGCCGCAAACAGGGTACGACTAAGGAGGCAACTCGGATGCTACAGTGCAGAGTGCCTAATTTCCCTAGCCAATGACTGAAGACAAAACTGGAGTCCAAAGCTGAGGGTGAACCACAGCAGAGATGTGTTTCTCTGCACAGCAATCAAAAAGCCCCAGTGGCAGACCTCTTCATAGCTTGGACACCGTCTGTCCTTCTTTTTAAGATTAATTCTCTGAGCAGGAATCAATTAGAGATTATTTAGCCCAGAAGGAGAGAGCAAAGATGCCAACCCATGAATTAGGGTCCTCATTTGAGAAGATTTGCATTTCAGACTACACTGCAAGGCTTGTTTACATATTCCACATTCAACAGGCATTGGTTAACACGCCTGAATAGTTTTGGAGCATGGACCCAAAATCAAGGTCATCCCTTGATGCTTCGCTAGGAACATGCTCTAGTCACGAAATTAGTACGTAGCAGGGATGAGGATGTGAAGACGGGAGCTGCCAGACCTGTGCCATCTGTCAGACCCTGCCATCACTCACTCCAGAGCCTCCAGAAGCAATGTGAAGTGGGCTTGCACCAGCTGCTGAACTTGGGTCAAAACTCTAGTTCTTTGGGTCTGCAGTCAGGCAGAACTGTGTTTGCCGGCAAAACGCGGTAGCAAAAATAACGCATAAGGAGTACATGGTGCAGGATTTTAGTATCATACTTTTTGGCTTAGCTGGCTAAATTCTATCCCAATCTTCCTGAGGAAAGAAAACCTACACTGGAAACCTCTTGAGACGTTCGTCAACTCATAACAGAAACCACTCTCATCCCAAATAGCATGCCTGATGAGAGCCAAATTAATCACTGCAACAGTGCCACAATGTCAGAGAAATTACTCCTGTGCACTGATTACAAACCAGGAGGTGTTATTCCCAGTGAAAATCGCATAGTTTTTTGAACTTCAGGAGGCTGCTAATGCTTCTGGTTTACCCCAGGCTCCCCTTTAAAGGAGGCCAAGTCCTGTAGGCAACAGGGACATCTACTGGCAAGCTCTCCGCTGTTCTCCTCCGGGAAAAACGCAAATCCCAGCCTTGAGGGAAAATCTGTGCATACTCAGCTCAGGAAAAGACAAGACTGGAGGCAATTAGCATCCAAATGATTTATTCCCTGCCAGATTTCCAGGAGTTCATAGGTATATAAACATGGATTAAGCAGTACAGGACCAATTAACTGAAGAAACCAATTCCAGAAAGTACAAAGGAGGATGTGGGAGCTGTGAGGGGAAGTGACAGCTATAAACAAATGAGTTCCTCTTCTGCCCCCTGCCCCCCCAGGAATCGGAGCTCTATTCGTTGTTTCCACTGATATTTTGAAAGCGATTATCTACATTCTGCTCTTGATTTGCCAGAAATACCCAGAATGAAGCAATTAGCAGCAAGAAAATAATTCATAATTTCATCACTGGAGTGTTAGGCACGAATTAATACAGAACCTTCTTAGCAGTGGGCAATTGTGCGACTCTTCAAAGTGAAAAGTCACAGCGGATGACAAGGGAAGGGCTAATGCTCTTCTAAATTTGTTCAATAACTCAGCTATCATTCTGGTGCCTCCTGCTTACCTGAGTAGTGATGATGCAGATCTTGAGATGTTTTCAAGCAGGCAAAGATTTCTGAAATAATGTTTAAAGGATCATTATGTTAATTATTATAGCAGAGATAAATGCCGGATTTTCTAATTCCTTCCATCCCAGAGTTTGTCATGAAACAGATTAATCAGAATTACTGTCTCAGCATTCTAAAGAGGCGAATTACTAATAGGCTTTAACTACATTATAATGTACAGTATATTGGCAGATTTTAGTCATCAATGTAATATAGCCAGATGACTTATTTATTCAGGGAAATGGGGGGAAACTTGTGATATTAACCTCAAGGACATGTAGCTTCTCTAAGCCAATTACACCTCTGGGACATTAAAAGCACTTTGCTGTCCATCATGCTTCACAGCTTCCCAAAGGCATGGTTTTTCCAACTCCATCCTCAGTCATTAAGCATTCCATTAACTATACTATTACACCAAAGTTACAATAATACTGTCCCATTAACGCACAACATCTAAAATGCTGTTAAACTATGAGGAAACAGTTTCAGTGGTTACATATTTAACAGGCACAGCTAGACGAAATTTGGTCCAAAAATCTTTGGTTTATAAAAAGTCTTTTTAATAAAACCAAGATTAATGAGCATGTTTTGATTAATTAGATGAAATCACTTTGTTCCATTGGAAAACAATCCTTCAAAATGCCTGATTTCAGAAAATATGTATACTGTGCTACTTTTAATTCTGAAAAATGAGACAATCAAAACTGAACCTTTATCAAAATATTTGAACATTACACTTCTCTTCTTGGTGTATAATAATTGCTTATATTCCTTTTTCTAGCAAAAAAGATCTTAAATAAAAAACATAAATAGATGCTGGGGGAAGGGCCAGCATTTCTACTGACTGCCGTTGGTGATCCAAGGTCCTTTTTACCCTCCTTCTTGCTGGACCCAACTAGTTTTGTTGCATTCTGCATGTTGTAAAGCAACAAACAGGAGAAGAGGAATGGGGACTAAGTCATTCCTTTTGAGGATGGGAAAAGGGGATTTTAATCAAAGCAATGGCGTGCTTTAGAGAGGAGCCCCACAACTTGATGTGCTTGCAGCAGTGTGCTTCAGCACTGCAGCGTTCTGTGCGCAGCCAGAACCAGGAAGAGCAGCGCTTGAAGGGGAGGTAAGTCTGCGTCACAGCTAGCCTCAAAAAGAGACACATGCCCAGCTGCTCGGCCTCTTACAGTTAAGTGGCATGTCAGGACAACTGGAAGACAGACTAAAAGGCAACAAATACGAGTGAAGTTAACCAGCACTCTACTTCTGTGGAACAAAGTCATTCCTCACTATAATCTGTCACTTGAATTTCTTCACTGGCCATTTCATATTAATTCAATGCTTTGCTGATCTTGTAATTTCAGGGAAAGCACACAAACAGAGGAATTACACCAAACTGCAACTTGAAAAATCAAACATACATTAAAAAATTTGTATCACAATCTATCCTCAGGTATACACCCTAACTCAGGAGGTCTCTGAGACTGCCAGGGATGAAAGCAGCACCATCAT